CCCCAAAACCCCAAAACCCCAAAACCCCACAGAGAGAAATATGCCAGTTTAATCAAAATGAGTGAAGGAGTATTAGAATGAATTCGTGATTATAAAAATAATATATTAAATGATGATGAACAGAAAATTGATACTTAGCGCTTGTAGGTAACTAAAGTAAAGACAGAGTATTTTCGCCTTTGCTCAGTAGAGAACTTTTGCCACTGGAACTTCAGAATAATCAAGATAGGAGAAAATCGACTTTGGGTTTAAGGATGTTAACTATGAAGAAAAGGAGAAAATGGTTAGATAAGTATTCAGCAATGTTGCTGACAGCTATGATGTGATGAATGATGCAATGAGTCTAGGAGTTCATAGATGCTGGAAAGATCAGTTTGTTAATCAATTAGGACCCCTTAGAACTAGAAGAGTCGTAGTTGAGACTTCTAATCAAGAGAGAGAAGAAAAATTAAAGGTCATTGATGTAGCTGGAGGCACTGGCGATATTTCCTTCAGAATACTCAATAAAGCCAAGAAAGACTCACCCACTCGTAAGCAAGCAAATGCGTATATTAATATATTTATAGAGCTTTCTGTGGATATCACTGTGTCAGATATTAACCCTAATATGCTTGAAGTAGGCAAGAAGAGAGCTGTAGAGCAAGGCTTATTCCATGGTATTGATTGATATAATTTGATTATTTTTTAGACTTATCGTTTATGGAACTAAATGCAGAGAACCTATCAAACCTCAAGAGTGACGACTTTGATATCTACACAATAGCTTTTGGAATCAGAAACGTGACTGACAGACAAAAGGCTTTGAAAGAGGCTTATAGAGTACTTAGAAAGGGTGGTAGATTTATGTGTCTCGAGTTCTCTGAAGTTGAAGTACCAGGCTTGAAGCAATTCTATGATTTCTACTCATTCAACATCATTCCACAGTTAGGATAGTTCATCGCTAATGACATAGATTCCTATTAATATTTAGTTGAGAGCATCAGAAAATTCCCAAAGCAAGCTGAGTTCGCAAAGCTGATTGAAGATGCTGGATTCAAAGCAGTCACTTACACTAATCTTACTGGAGGAATTGTTGCTATTCACTCAGGGTTCAAAGTATGATTGATGACTTATATAATAAAGAGAATTTAAGTATAATTGCCCAAGCATGCATTCCTACTTTATTTAAATATAAACATTAAAATTCAATGTTCACTTCCGGGGTTTTGGGGTTTTGGGGTTTTGGGG